TTTTCTTGATAAAAATAAATTTTATTGCCACTACAACATAGTGCACTCAATCTAATATACTAGACTAATTTACCTAATGTAGATGATACTAGAATATCAATGGGAGTAATTGTATCGTAGTCTATTGCTTCTACAGTTAGGGTAATTTTATTGAGCATATCAACGGTTAACATCAGACCGTGTTGCGACGTGCTAGTAAATCTACTTAGTGAATTTACTTGTGAAATTCACAGGTCTTTGTGATCAAGCTCAAGTTATCGCTAGTAGTATATGAGAATTCTTATATGCGGAAACTACACGGCTGATTAATAAGTTAATTGTTTTATTTCACCATGTGTAGTAATTGGGTTATAATGATATTATGGAGACAAACGATTTTTCATTTCATAAAATTTATATTAAGACTTTGTATCGAGGTTATTGAACTGGATAAACTGCAAAATGAAGTTTCTATAGAAAATAGCCCAAACACTCCAAACAGGAAATTTTAAAGTTACCGCCATGTCGATGTCAGGACCTCAAATATTTCAGCTCTGCAAAGTTGCCAAGCAGGTATTCTTATTAAGGTATGTTAAGTGAATACCACCGTTGACATCTGCTACACATGAAGGTTTGTAGATGCGTTCACAAATTTTATAAAGGAAACTTCCTCCTACAGAAACTACTACAGAAACTACTACTAACTACAGAAGAGACGCGAAAGGATTATACTTCGACTTCACGGCGGTCTTCTGTGAGGTTGTGCTACTTCTCCTGACGGACCTGCCCATTCGTGCACCAGTGTACTCTGTTGTGAGGCCCTACCATAGTTGCATGTTGATTATATTCTATTACAATTCTACTGACGACGGGTTTATTCTTGACAATGGGAGGACAAGGCGACTATGTCAAGTATGTGACCTCATATAATAAAAATACACCACTAAACATCTTGGACCGCCCATTTGCTTGTTTTGTTTTTCTAAAACCTCACTTCTTTTTTTTCCAATAACCTCCATTCATTCCATCATTTTTTTTTATTTTAAAACCCTTACTTTAGGATAACATTATTCTGTATTGTAAGGATGTTTTACAAACATAATTTTTACAAACACGTAGACAAACACCCAAATGCGAAAAAACTATCTGTGGGTCACACAAATAGTCGTCCCGTGTGGGAATCGAACCCACGATCCCCGACGCCGAGGCCAATACCCTGGCAACTGCGCCACGGAGTCATCACTTATATTATTAGATTCCTCTTTTTAGGTTGATGAACTCATATACCTACACATATACCTTTCATGAATTTTGGTATAAAACTCACGTAACGAAATATCGACTTGGGTACCTACAACCTTGCTAGGGGTAGCCATATAAATTAAAATTTTCCCCATACCATTAAAGTATGTCACAATTCTCTCACGCGCGTTCACATAAATAATGCTTTGTGAAAGAGAAATTTTGAACATACTCGCAATCCTTAAAAGTATTGTGTTAATTTCGACCCCTAAATTGGCGCTTCTGGTATGCTTTGACTTTTGATGTAGGAATGCACAAACTTTTCAGCGGCTGAAAGCAATAGAAAAACGTGCAGAAAAAGAGAAAGTTAAGAGATATTTTTGTTTTGAATTTAAGCGCAAATTCTAAACACATTGAATAATTTTCTGCTTTTATTGCTGCATTCCATGTTTTTATATTAGATGAAATTTAATTCTGTACGTCTTTAACGTCAAAAATAACTTTTCGTTCACTTTATTTAATACTATAGTAATTGTTGTTAACAAAAAAATAAGTAGTTTTTCTCTAGACTATTCTATTTTACGGTGGTAGGGCCACGCAGCAGCCTCGGCTGTTGCACGAATGGGCAGGCCCGTCCGGGTAAGTACCACGACCTCACAGAAGACCAGCGTAAAGTGGAAGTATGACAAATACTTTCGCGTTTCGTCTGGTGAGCGAGGTAGCCGGAGCCCAATTATCAAAAGGTTGTCAACGCATCTGTAACCCTCGCAGATGTCCATGGGCGGCGGTATTCACTTAACATCAGGTGAACCGTCTGCTTGTTTGACAACTTTTCGCATAAAAAAAAAGACATAACTACTACACCACTTACAAAGAAACAAACAATTTAAACCCTTTGAGCTGTAAAGGTAATCGACCGTGATAGTTAGTGGCCGGGCCCTCACTTTCAATTCAATAGACTCGAACAACCCGAGTCTAAATCCCAGTACCAGAACAGTTACCAACGGAATTGTAAATTTCAATTTTACTTGCTGACTTAGCATTCAATTGGTTGCTTAGAAAAATCGCGAGCAAACCTACATATCTTAAAAATTACACAGTTAATTAAAAAAAATATACGCTCGTGTATCACTGTACCCCTCTTATTATAAATCTGTAGTATTCATTTTATCTTTTTTTCATTTTTATATGCATGACGTGTCCTTTACGTGGGTTATAAAATCTTCGAACAAAGAGCTTGTGGCCTCCTATTTGGTTAAGGTGGCACATGTGCATGTGAAATCTGTTAAGAAAGAAATTTCACCTTCAGGCCATCGGGCCGTTACGTTACGCTATATTAATCGTTGACTGGGGTTGATGAGAACCACCCTGGAATGTGGGTGTACCTTGCGTACGCGTTGAGTTGCATCGTGCTTAATCAACAATCCTCATTGCAAATCTCAGCGGCGTTGTTCACTCAAGTATTCAAGTTAGAATCTTATCATAAGCATAGCAATTTCAGCTCGGAGTCTAGCAAAGAAAATGAAATGAAAAAAAATCCTCACCTTCCTACTTTTCGATGCAATAATTCTCATACCAATTAATCCAGTGGAACGTTCGTCCATTTCCAGCACACGCGAAAAGAACGTAAAAGTCCCCTGGAATAAGCAATTGCTGGAACAACCTTAGCAAATTTATCGCCATTAAATCACGGCAATTCATTTGCAACAATGTGGGACGAATGGTGCGTTAACTACTTACCCATGCAAATACATTTTGTCTTCACACGCTTTTAGCTTTATTGCTCCGTGGGGCGGATTTAGGTGATTGTTTTTTTTTGTCTATCGTGTTTACTTTATTTCTATTCATGCAAAATTTTATAAATTGCGACTAACCCCGTTCAATTTACAAAAAAATACTGCTAGTGTTATTTCTTTTAATTTGACTGTATTATAGATTAGTAACAAGAAATCAAACTGATATTCATGTTAATAATGTCATTGTAAATATAACTGTTGCGATGAAGTTCTGTCTTAAAATATAACGTACTCAAAGAATCTGTCTTAATCACCACGCTCCTAGTGGTAAATTTTCATATCCTCAAAATAGTTTTAAATTTCGTATTTTATGAAAATTTAATACTTAACCCTATTTTCACAATGATTTCATCAATTCCGATCACGTGGTAAAATAACATTTTATTTTACCAATGACAAGAATATTGGAGCCACCACCGATGTAGTTGAAATTCTGGTTTCGAAGCTTGAACGTACTAGATTGAGAATCAATGGCTAACGTAAATACATACCTATGACTGAATTCATAGAATTTTATATAATTTTTGTGAAATTCATAAATTCAGTCATAGGTATGCATTATATAGTTAAATCGTCCACATGTTTTTAATTGACGTAATGGGCTAATAAATATTATTTGTTTTTCTTTACTGATTCCGCTTAGTATAACCTTATTATATTATTTTAGATAACATTTCCTAATATTCTAATAAATAATTCACGGTGGAAAATGGTCGAGTTAAGGTTCGAGTTTTTAAACAAAAAACCATACCAATTAGTTATAATAAACGATCACTGCTATGTTTACAATGGCAAGCAAACAACTAGCGGTTTACTGTACTTTTATGATAAATAAGTCAGTATCAAGTGAAGAGGTCGGAATGTAAAGCAGACGGGGTCATTTGCTTCTTCTACAGAATGTCCATGTGATTTGAAACTTTTAATTTACCTTAATAATCGTAAAATTAATATCACTGTCAATTAGAGATTTATACCTGGTTGGTAATAAGGAATTGGTGATTAATAATGAATCTGAAATGTTATATATTAATTACAATAATTTATTATTATATATTAATTTAATTTATTTTTATTTTTAATTTTTATAATTATATATTAATTACAATTTTTTTTCACTATAAAAACTAGTATTATAATACTATTTTTAATACAATAAGGCAACGTTTGCCAATAAATATTAGATTAAATGAAAAAAAGAATATTGAAACAATTAATATTACCCAAAAAAGAAGTGAAATAATAAATTTTTATCATAATTGTTAGAGGTTAAATGGAATAAATTGGTAATAATATAAATTGATAGTAATTTTCTATAGAAAGAAGTTGCAGAGGTTGTCTTGTGGTAGGTTATAGTTATGGTTTGAAATCCCAATGGAGAGACAGGTAAAAAAGTTCGCTGTGTGAAACATGTATGTGTAATGAAAAATGTTATTAAAACAATAGCATAATTACCGACAAATTGCTCCTTTGTGCATATTTTTTTTTGTTAATATGTATTTTAAGTATGATACATAACATGTGTCCCATAATGATGTCTACTAGGTCAGTAGGTTAAAAACGACATCTACCAATTATTACGCTACATATTTATATAAATGACTAATTGATGCATTGTAAAAACAATAAGCGACAAAACGATTTTTGAACAAAGAATTATTTGTGCAGCTCATAATCAGCTATGTTGGTGATTCATTTCAATTTCATATATAAATATCGGTTTCACTTTTCAATCGACGTTATAAAGCGGAACTTTCATATCGTAAAGCAAGTTAGTAGTTTAAGATTGCGCACTTATTTCCGAACACTCTGTATAAAAATTGCGTTTGCTGATAATGGTTTTTACTGTCACTCGAAATGTGAATTTTTATTTATTACCAATCAAGTTAATAGTCATCAGTACTCTTGACTACTCTATAGAAATAATTGGTTGAACTGATTTTTCTGCTTAACATGGATAATCCATTGATGCTTTTAGTTTTGTGTATGTTGTACATTGCAAGTGTCGATGCGCTCGCTCTGAAAGGACCGGCGATTACAAGATACGACCCGTGTGGATTAGCCGTGGTATATTTTGACAAAATAACGCAGCATATCTGGCAAGGTGTTTTTAATTTAGGTTTATACAATAACGTTCAACAAGAGTTGGAAATTGAAATTAATTTTGAAAACCGGATCATTCTTTACGGGGTGAGTTTTTGTTTATGTTGCTTTATATTTAATTTGTTATTTAAGGTGTATTTCTGGATCTCAATGTACAAGCGTGGACTTATCCACTGTTGCTATTCCGTTTTGTTATCAGTTTCAAAGCTCCCTTGTCAACTAAAAAAACTATATTTGCACATATGTCCGGCCATTTATTCGTATGTTTATCACTTTTTTATTCTTCTATCCATTTTGGTAGTTTTTATTATTTTCTGAGTTATCGTAAATAAAATACAAAAACATACATTTAGTCTAAGACTGCTATTGGTCAAGCGCTAAGAATGCTTTAAAACAAGAATGAAATTGACATTTAACATTTTCAGTACATGAGTTATTTACTATCACTTTTAATACAATGAACGTATAGTGCTAGAAATCAATCCAACTTGATGGCTTGTAGCCGGTAAATGGAGTGACTGAAAAAAGCCTCTCTTGTCTCCATTCGGTGACGCGGTTGCTAAGCTGTTGGCTTTTATTAGAAAGTTTTTGTGTGACCCACAGATAATTATTCCGGATCTAAATGTTCCCAAGGTAGGTTGACGTCAGGCAGGCGACTTTAAATAAAAAAAAACAGATGAAACCTCAACAATAAGGCAACATGATCATGATCTTATTTTGAAAGATCATGCTTATTTTTTTTTACTTTAATTCAATAAAAAGTAATTTTTCAGGCCTCTCAAAACAGTACTTTCAGTGTTACGAATGACGGACATGACTTCGTTATCAAACCGAAAGGCCAAATACCAACGCGTTATTCGTTTTACTTATCGGTAAACGACGAAAATGCAAGCAACGTTCCAATTGTTAACAAATTAATACTGAACAAAAATGTTCTTTGTGACGACTTTATAAAGGTGAAGGTCTTTGTTTTGATTCCCTGCTTTTAATATGTTAATTTACAATTTATTCTCGTTAATTTTGGCTGTTTTTCACACATTTTGTTAGCAGATAGATTCTTCTATTCTTAAGTGGTTATCTCCGCTGTTGTAGATGCTTTGGCAACATTTAAAATAGTTAGATTCATTTATTTCACCTCCCACAAAAAACGCAAAACTATAATACTTCCTATTCACGTTGATCTTCTACGATTGAATATTCGTCAGATGAACCTACTTGTTTGTTCAATAACCGATGATGCTGGATTACTACCGAATCACGAGAGTTATTTATTCTACATGTTCTTCTAGCCAACGTAATGTATATAAGAATAAATTGTTTTATTTAACCGTATTATAATTTTGTTGTTTATCTAATTTTATTTACTGACTTTTTATTACAGGCATCACAAACAGTAGACAACTTCAATGTCACAAAAGAGTATGACATAAAATATCACCACGTATGTGGCAGACGGGCTTTGGACCATGCTGAGTTGACTTCTGTTAGAACCGTCGCCAACGCTGGTGATTGGCCCTGGCATACAGCACTCTTTATAAAGGAACTTGTCACTAGTATTGATAAATACCAGTGTGGTGGTAATATAATATCAACAACAGCAATCCTTACTGGTTAGATTTTTTACAAATCATGTTTCTAGAAAGTAAATTATTAGTAAGGTGAAAAAACAATTTATAGACATCCCACTGCTTGGTTCCTGACCTAAGTGAGCATTAATAAAAGATACTTTTATTTATGCTCACTTAAAATTGGTGGATTTTAAAATACTTCTATTATTTTTATTTCTTAACAATTAATAATCAAACTTAGACACACAAGAAATGCTTGATAGATTAGTTACACTTTACATTGCAATTGATAATTTTGTTGCTGCCAGCCTATAATAAAGTTAAACTATTTTGTTCCAATATCACACTAAGACAGAGAAAGTTAGCATAGCGTTACGGTCAACTTTGAGATGAGATGCAACAGCTTCACTTATACAATAATTTACTATTAATAATCACTATTAATAATCACTATTAATATCATTTATACAATATTTTCAGCCGCTCACTGTGTTAGTAATAATGGCATTATTGTGGATGCGAGCAGGATAACAATTTTAGCGGGAATAAATAATTTAACCGATATAAATCAAGTCGGCCGTCAAGTTCACTATGTAAGGAAGTTTATTTTTAATAATTTGTATAAACAATTAAGTTTAAAAAATGTCTAACATGTGCCATGGAATGAATTAAAAAGACCAATGCCATGACCAAAAAAAAAATGCCATGGAATGAATTAAATTAATAGAGAAATATGGTCCAGTGGTACAGCATAAAGTAAATAATGTTTAGTTGATAATTGATTAAAAATAATAATGTCAGATAACACTATTGATTACCAAACTAGCAACATTAAATGAACTTGACGTTAAAAAAATTTAAAGAATAAGGATTTGGCGTGAACTTGTTTCTAAGGGTTGAGTATGGTAAATTTGGAGCAAAATGGAAAATAACCAACTGATCTAATATTTATTTAAACAATTTTAAAGAGCCATGACAGCTTAATGTCTGGACGCTCGCTTTTAGTTCAATATACTCGAGCTACCGGACTTCAAATCACACCGCCAGCTTCAATGAAAGTGTCGATTATAAGTGATAAATTATCACGTGCACAGCGGTGAAGAAAAACATCACGAGGAAGCACCTATGTACTTCTGAAATAGTAATAATAAAAAAAAAATGTTTCGTTATGAAAAGTTTGCCAATCAATAGTGGAGTCGCCTGATGGAGTATGCTAGAGGGCATACTCCATGCACTGAGGGCAAGGGCTTCCTCTGTACAGAGGTACAGAGTAGGCCTTTGCCCAATCCTGGGATTTGTATAGAGTGTTACTTTGCTTACTTTTTATGATTTCCAGGCCGAAAAAGTCATAGTTCATCCAGCATTCAATGATATACAGGCAACATCCGATCTGGCAATAGTGAGAGTAAAAAATATCCCATTTAATGAATACGTGCAACCCGTCTGCATTTGGGGACCTATTTACGACAAATCAAAACTATTCGGAACTGAGGCTACCGTATGACCCATTTTATCATATTTTGTACATTCGCAATGTTAAAAACCTTTTTGTTAATTAGTAATATCAAGGCTCAATGGAATTATATGCTTTTAAATTTCAGCGGAACGACCTGATATTTTTTGATTGTTAGTAATATGTCACCAGTGAACTTCATATTCTCTGAATAATTTAATAGCTTTTTTATTTCAATACAGATAAGTTTCATTTTAATTTAGAATATTCACTTGAAATATACACATTTTTTTAAACGAACCAATGAATAAAGGAAATAAGTAAACTAAGAATGTTATCGTCAGAAATCTCAGAAAGAACGAAAATAATGAGAACAGAATTCGTTTAGCAATTTATTAATCAGGGCATGAATATATTAATGTTATTTTGTCGTGGTTGTTAGTATTTTAATTTTAATAGTCCAGATGCCTAAATTTTAGAAAAAGTTGTAAATTTTATTCATGTTACTTTCATGATCTTTGTTTTAAAAATATTTTATTGGATCGTGAATAAATAAGCAGCGAATAGAAAATGCCATTCAACGTAGAATAGGAGCGCATCATTATTATAATCTTCGTTATTTTAAGCTGAACTGTATTATTGAACACGCCAATAGCTCGTTTTAAATTCCGTTATTTAAATTTGTAGGTAGTTGGATTCGGTAAAACGGAGGATAACAAGCTTTCTGATACCCTTAGATCCGCTTACATAATGGTGCAGAATGACTCCACTTGCATTGCGTATTCACCTAAATTGTATAATGGTCTGCTGAATGAATTTACATTTTGCGCCGGCTTTGGACCTACTTCGGGTAAACGCTTAAATATTTTATTTCTTAAGTCCTTTTAATTTTTCATCTGTATGTAAGTCATGCATTTTTAATTTATTTTGATTTGATTTGCCAATTTATCATTTAAAACTCATAGAGCAAATTTGAGTTTTGCTTTATGTCACGAATATTAACGTCTTTATTTTATTTTAATTTCTCTCAAATTTTCATACCATTTGGAATGCCTATTTTTTTGTGTGAAAAGTTGCCAAACCAGTAGACGGTTCACCTGATGGTAATTGAATACGTCTGGAATACGAATGGACGTCTGTTACACCCGAGGGATACAGATGCGTTGACAACCTTTTGAAAATTGGACTATTTATTATACATTTAAAACAACCGTAAATAAATAAAATGTTGGTACATTTTAATCGTTAACTATCTACAACGGGTCTCTTCGCTTTCTTAATCAAATTTGTGCCCAAACACGTTTAGATTTTGATTACAAACAAGGATTATAGCGAGTCCAGAGATCAATGAGGGTTTTATAAATCGTGTCGACAGAAGAAGAAGAAGAAACGTTTATTCACGGTCTAAGCACAATGGATACATATAAAACTAAGAAAATGATATAAGTACACAGTAGATACAATAATATTGGAAAAATTTAAAACAAATGTAAACATAACTACACAATCAAAAAAAAAAAACTGAATGTCTTTGTAGCCGCATAAGACCGTGAAACGGACTCGGACACAGACGAAATTTGTTCTGATCCCGACACTAGACAAAAGAGAAAACATAGACGGATAAACAGGTAGCAAATTAAAATCTGTGTTGTTCATAATTTTCAGGTATAAATCCCCGTAACGGTGACAGCGGTGGAGGGCTGGTGGTGGCAACAGTGCAGCCAGATCTCAAGATAAGCTGGTTCTTGCGGGGCGTTGTCTCCAAATGTGGGGTTTCGCCGGGGCAGACAGAGTGCGATCCTAGATTTTACCTGGTCTACACCGATGTCGGGCCTCACTACGGTTGGATTTACCATAATGCGGGTCTACAATACAGAAGCAACATATTGATCTGAAAAGGATCGCTGTTTGAAATTCGCTCAAAATAGTCGCTCAATGGGGAATGTACAAAGTGTTATAAAAAAAATAATTTTGCTCGTTGAGAGATCTTGCCATCAGAAAGTGTATAATTCTTTCGTATTCACGGTAAAACAACTTGCCGAATTTTAAACGATAATAGCATATACCCTGATTTGATGTAGGTATATAGGGATAAGAAAATTATGCTATTTTAGTTTCAAATATGGTTAGAAATTAGTTTTGAATGTTTAACCTATTATGCATCTGAGTGGTCGTAAAAATAACAATGCAATTGTCATGCTTTTAATATTGATAATATTATTAAAAAATACAAAGGTAACTGTACTGATTATCTTGATTGATTTTATTTAAATAAACTGTGTTGTAAGGACGTTGTAAGGACGCAACTATAATTTATAAGTTCAGGATAAGCGAACCGTTAAGTAAATTCTCAAAAGGAATTTCAACATTCTTACGACGGGCAAGCAGAATCAGAAAACTTAACTTAGCGATGGCATAGAATAAAGATTTTATAATACAAAAGCTGTCCTTTTTTGTTCGGTGACACTTTTTTTAATAAGATTTTAATAAATTATGCAGGAAAGCGGCACTCCGTCAGATGGCGGAGCATCGTCAAGATAATGTTGCCAGCCTCGTTTTTTATTTGTTGTATTTGTAGAAAAACTGCGCCATTGCTTATCCATCGCATTTTCATATGTTAATTGTAAAGTACTTATTTTTTTATGTTCTTGATAAAAGAAACTGAAATATCTATTTTGATTAAAAAAAAACTTCTTAGTGTTACAATATTTTATTTGACGCTTATATCTGGCTGCATTGTATATAATTTTTATAGAACTATCAAGGATTTTCAAAGTTGCTTCAAAAACTAAACTGCTTAAAAAGTTACTACAATTGGCATCGTCTGTCAATTGTAGTAACTTTTGATGCAAACGTTTGTGCCAAGCTTTCGCTAAGGCTAAAATATATGAAGTCATTGAAGCCTAACATACAACGCACAGGGAAAAATTTAAGAAGGCGTCGCCTATATTTTTTTTATGGAGAAAAGAGGTAAACGAGCAGGAGGCTCATCTGATGGTAAGTGATTCAAAGCTAACGGCGTGTAATTGGATTTCCAAGGCGCAACACGTCCTTGACTCGTTGAAATAAGGATCTACTATAGTGATAAGTTTATTAAATAATACGTTAGTTAGCAAAATGTTGTGCGAAGTTATTGGGATAAAATTGCTTATAGTTAAAGTAATTCAGCTGATAAACAATTAAATATTTTACGGGATAATAAGTGTTTAATGAATTACTTAAAATTGTGTTGATGTAATATATTGTATTTCATATTTTTATAGAAGCACCTTTGTAATGAAGAGTCAGTAAATTTGTAACTCACGGTTAGCTAGGCAATTTTTTTCTATAATTATGTATTATTATAATAATTTCGGACCTAACTGAAATAGATGTTTATTAAATATTGGTGTAATCAGTAATTAATAGCCCGTCTTATGTAATTTAAACAAATTTTAAATTAATATAATTGCAATTTGTATTTTTAAAATGTTTCTACCATGCTGTATAATGCCGCAGGGTGAAGAAAAAATTTCAAATAAGAACTGAAAACAACGTCAAGTACAAAAAAGTAGACGCTGTCTAGTCGTCGCCTCCACTTAATTAAAGGGCTACAGGCGATAAGTTAGCAGAAAGTTTGTGATTGTGAAGTGAAGTAACAAAACAGAAAGGTTGTCAACGCATCTGTACGTAGAGATGAAATCTTACCATAGGTGAGCCGTTTTTTTTCGAAATCGTAGAGCCATTTTTTCGAACAGTCGTAGTGTTACTCACAATTGAGATGTGTTAATGGACTGTGATATGATTAACAAACTTTTCAGCATCATCTTCTCCTGTCTTTCTTGTATCTTGTATTAACTGATGTTTTTGCTTTCAGTCCCGAGACTACTAAAGCTTCATCGGAACCGGAACTTCGCAGAACCGGTGGGCTAGCCAGAACCCACGGGTTTGGACCCTCCACTATGGGTAGGGTCGCGCATGTGCTCATGCGTGCGTTTAACTACTGTGGTGTGTCATCTAAGGGCCGTCGAGGTCGCCGGTTCGGACCGAGACCCCGACTGTGCATTTAGCTAATCGGTGGCTGGGAGCGGTGAGAACCGCCCCGGAACGCGGGTGTACCTTGTGTACGCGTTGTGTGGGTCTCGCCGTGCTCGGAGGCGAGGGCGAACTGGTGTGATTGTTGTTACACTAACTGTGGGTGTAGTGTTATCCGGCGGGACCCCCGGCGGTGGGTCCATCGGATCTAAGTCCTCTTCGTCGACCGGGTCGATGAGGACGTTTCGCGGGCGACGCTTGTTTACGTTCGCGTTAGTGTCCGGTTGGTAGTTTGCTGCGCTTACCACCAGAGGGTTGGGATGATGCTGGGCTCTATCGAAGAACCGTTTTGTCAAATCTTTAAAATGTGCGCGAATCGTCGGGAGTCTGCAATCGCTATGCAGGTCAACGTTGCGCTGATACCATTGCGCACCGGTTGCGCGGCGGATAAACTTACTTTGAACTACTTGCAATTTGTTAATGCGCGTAGGATTTATATGTGCGAAGATCATACAAGCGTAGGACATGATTGGCCTTACGCAAGATATAAGAGTAATTTGTGCCTTAAGGGCATTTTACTTTTCTTATTGGTTAATTTGTGTAGCCGGCCGGAAACGAACGCGGACTTGATTGATGTGCGTAGTGAAAGTCATACGCGAGTCGAAAGTGACTCCTAAATATTTGACCGTTTTCTCCCAGGGGAGAGTTTGGCCATATAGTGATATTTGCCCCAACTTTCTGTACTGGCGAGGACCTTTGTAACGGTGTGGCGGATGGGGGTTGAGGGTGCTACGCGTGAAGTGAATCGCCACAATTTTTTCTGGATTTATATCGATTCTCCATTTGCGGAACCAATCGCCGAGGCGGTCGGCGGCGCTTTGGAGTCGAGTCGTTAATTGACTGAGGTTACGATCTGAGTAAAAGAGCGCCGTGTCATCCGCGAAAAGCGCGAGATTGACGTGGGGGTCTCTAGGTATGTCGCTCGTGTAGAGCGTAAATAATAAGGGTGAGAGGCAGGAGCCTTGTGGTACGCCGGCCGTGAGGCGGCGGCTTGTGGAGAGGGTGCCCTCGACTCGATATCGAAAAGAGCGGTTCAATAAAAAAGGCCCGGATGGTGTGTACGAGCCTATCTGGCACTTTGAGTGTGTACAGCTTGTAAAGCAAGCCGTTGTGCCAGACTTTGTCGAATGCTTTTGCGACATTGAAGAAGAGAGCCCCTGTACTAATGTGTTTGGGATGGTTAAGGCCTTTTAGGATGTGCTCCGTTAGGTGGTATAACTGATCGGGACAAGAGTGTCTAGCTCGAAAGCCGAATTGTTCCGTCGGCAGAAGGCCGTTGGAAAATACGTGCTCTTTGAGCCTGTTTAACAATAGCCGCTCGTAGAGCTTCCCCAGGCAACTGAGGAGGCTGATGGGACGATAGCTAGAGGGCTGATTGGCTGGTTTATTCGGCTTGCGAATGCCGATAACCGTGGCTTGCTTCCAGACGTCCGGAAAGGAGCAACTGGAGAGAAGGGTATTGAAAATGGTCGCCAGTAAACAGATAAGCGGCCCAGGGAGAGCTTTGAGAATCTTATTACTTATGTTATCTGGGCCCGGGGCGGATTTTGGTTTTAAATTTTTAATAATATCTTGGATCTCTTCGGGGGTCACTGAATTTAAAGGTTCGCCTTCCGGTGGAAGCGCAGCCCTAGTCTCGATTACGCGGTCCACCTCCGTTAGGTGGACTGAATCGGTGTGTTCGCGCGATGGCGTACATTGCTGCTCTAGGTTGTCCGCAAGGCATTCGGCTTTTTCGGAGTCATCTAGGGCTACTGAAGCGCTATTAGGTCTAACTAACGGCGGTAGAGATTCGCGGGGGTCTGCTTTCAGACTGCGGGCCAACCGCCAGTAGGCGGTGTGCGATGGCTCGATGTCCTCTAGGAGAGTGTCCCACGTTGCGTGTCGGTGTTCCGATACACGATCTTTGACTTCTAGCTGAAGGCGTCGAAGTAGGGTTCGGTTCGATTCCGATCGGTATTGGTCGAAGGCGCGTTTGGCTGCATTTTTCTGTCTAATTAGCAGTCGTAGGTCGGGCGGAAAGTTAAATCGTTGGACGCCCGACAGTTTCACTGTGCGGAAGTAATAGTTTCTCGGAGACTCTCTATCGCTTGATTTGCGTCATCGAACGTAGCTATCGTCTCGGGTAAGTCTACTAAGTCCTGGGGGTCCAAGGTTTGACCTCAAGACGATGCCAGTCCACTACGGATTTGGTCGGAGGGACCATGCCGGCGTTCTGGCCCAGTTTACACAGGACGGGCCTGTGGCCTGAGTCTAGTTCATCGATTGTCTCTATCGACTCGATGTCGAGCGAGACCTCCCTGAATAACATTATATCTAGGACACTCGGTGACGCGTGCTGGTAGTTGTCCACCGTAGGTGCCGCGACTCCCACTAGGTATGGGAGTCGCGGGAGCGATTATACTAAAATTTAGGTTATCGGATAAGCTAAAGAGATGCTTTCCGTTGTTATTTGGGATGTAGTTGGTGTCCCACGAGCCATGTTTGCAGTTTAGATCTCCTGTAATTATCACGGAAGGGCCTAAGTTAAGAAGCGTATCTAGGTCGCTTTGAAGTAAGGTTCTATTTCCCGAGAGGTAGGCTGAGACTAGTACAAGCGGCCTGTGGCCGGTGAGCGCTAACCTACACGCGGATGCCTCTATTTGACTTAGCTCTAGAATGTCGAGCGGGCAACAGTGTAAGGACCGTTTATAATAAATGAGTGTGCCTCCCAGACGGTTTGCTAACCTGTCGTGGCGGACAATATTGTAATTTGCGATTCTGGGGTCGCATACAGTAGGTTTCAAGAATGTCTCTTGCACTAGAAACGTTATAATCG